TGCATGAGACAACGCTGGACACAGAGGGAAATGATCCGAAAAGAACCGGGTCATTTCAGTCGGGGTCCTCTGCACAGCCCCCATGAGGGCAGCGGGGCTGGGGGGGGTCTCAGGGACGTTGCACTTACTGGTGCAGACCCAAGAACTGCATGGAACGGAGAGAAAAGCCATTTTTGGAGTGTCTTCTCCCAAGACACTCTTCCGTGCATCATGCCCCAATCAGCCCTCACCTCCGTGGCCGTGCCCCAGGCCAGAGGCTGGGGTGACGGAAGAGCTGCCCCAGCTCAGGCTGAATGGAGAGCAGAGGATGCCCACGCTGGTTTAGCTTTGCTTTCCCCATCCGTGGTCCAACAGTGTCTCCCGGGGAGCTGACAGCAACCAGTTGGGGCTGGGGGGGAAAAGTAGACCTCCTGGGGCTGGGGAAGGGCTGCTCCGCACCGGTGGCACAGTTGGCATTCCCCGGGATGGGCAGCATCGCCCAGCACAGCCCCCACCAGCTGCACACATCGCAGCCCTGCAGAGATGCTCACTGGGAGTCAGCGCTTGGAGCAAATTCTGCTGGAGGAAGGGTGGGTGGGGGAAATAAAAAATAGTAATAATATCAAGAATAGGAAGGGAATTAATCCAATTCAAAAGAACCAGCTCTGGCTGGGGCGCAGGGCTCGCGCAGCGTGCAGCTGGCTGACGACACGTTCCAGTAGTGCCCACGGTGCTGCTATCGGCATCGCTACGCTTGGGGTCGTCCAGAGAGAGCGAATGGTACCGGACCCCATCAGCATCAGTCTGGAAGTGTCGTGACTCTCCTGCTATCGAGAACAAATCAAACACCTCCAGATGACCAGAAAAGCGCAGGTTGAAGACGACGGTTCGTGTGCAGATTTGAAAAAAAAAAACCCCAAAACCACAAAAAAAAAAAAATCCCCAAACAAACACCAAAATTGGAAGACCTCTAACTGTTCCAGCTAATTTCAGTATTTGTGGTATTTTAAAGCAATAATCCTTGCACATGTCAGCTAGTTGGTGGGAAGTGGGTTGGTGGGAAGCGTCTTCTCGCTCGGCTTCCCTCCTGCACGTGGCGAAAAAAAAATCCGCTTCCCTGCGAGCGCAGAGCAGCTCCCTACTCCTCATCATCGCGATCGTAGTGCCGGTGGATCTTCTCAGCAAAGGGTGTACCACAACATTGCTCAAAAGTACCAAATTGGAACTAAAGCTCAAGCGGGACTCGCAGGATTTACGGCAGTGACACGGGCTTCAGCCTAACCACGACAACACGGATACCAGGCTACGGTTACGACCCACACCAAAGCCAAAGAGCTTTTTCGTTATTGCAACTGAGGTATCGACATCGCAGAAGCAGAACGGGCCGATGCTCCGACACCAGCGCTCGAACCCCCCCACCACGTTGGACAAGAGCACAGCTGGGCTGGTGGCCACATGTCCCGCTGGGAGATAAAGGAGCCCGGAGCTGGTGGTGATGGGACGAGCCACACGAGCGGAGGCTGGAGGAACACAGAGCATCACACACACAACGGGAAGGCTATCACGGCGTGCGTGAGACTAGTGAGAAAGAGGAACAGTCGGAGGATAACTATTGCTTGACAAAATTACACACCAGGATAATTCAGTGGCCTCCTCCCCCCCAAAAAAAGACCAAGCAAAAAACCCCCAAAGGAAGTGAATACAAAAGATCTGGGTTAGTTTTCAGGTGGAGGTGAGGACAGGGCATGGAGGATGCTCGGAGGAGGCAGAAGAGCTGGGACCATGGGCGTGTAGCAAGGCGTGACTGCGCTGGAAGACGGACATCGGAGATCTACAGGGCTTGGCAGAGGATGGGCCGTTTGGGGAGGTTCGGGCAGCGGCTCCCTTTAATCACTGGCGACGTGGTTCTCGTTTTGGAGGGTGTGCCAGCGTTCAATCTTCTTGTCCTTGTTCTTCAAGCATTCGTACCAGTGTTTCAAGCGCTCCCCCTTCGCCGTGATGCCGAGCTGACAGCCGCCTGGGAGAGAGGGAGAAGAGACATCATATTCAGAGATGATGTTGATGTTCCACTTAACGATTTCCATGAGGGACAGACCCCACGTTCAGGGCATTTCTCTCCACCTCCTGGATTTAAAATTCAGTAGAAACTACTAGAGCTGCTCTGCCTGCACAGATGGGGCAGTACAGCGGGTGCACTGTATCTGATGGCCTGGTGCAAGTGCCCGACCAACCTGTGTGGTCCCATTTCAAAGCTCAACCTGGGGTTCCTCACAGGTCCATCCCTGGAAGTGTTTAAGGCCAGAGTGGATGAAGCTTTGAGCAACCTGCTGTAGTGGAAGGTGTCCCTGCTCATGGCAGGGGGGTTGGAACTAGATGGTCTTGAAGGTCCCTTCCAACCCAAAGCATTCTGTGATTGTGACCGACGCATGCCTCGTGTACAGCTGGTGCTGTACCAGCCATCAAAACCGCACCCCCGAGCAGCTCACCGATGTAATCATTCGATTTTCCGATGTCGTAATCCCAGACAGAAATGTCCAGTGACTTCTTGGCCAGGTCGCTGTGTTTTATATCGTAGAAGAACTCCTACAGAAGGAGAACATCCAACGTCACCCCAAGCATTCCAGAAAAATACACCCAGAAAATCGCAGTTCAGGAAACTCTCTGAACAGCCTGAATTCAAAATCCAGCGAGAGGATATGGAAAATACATTAACGAAGAGCAAACGCTCCTCCTCCTCCCAGGACCACGGCACGCTGCACAAGCCCATAAGCCATGCTCACCCCTTGTATCTAAGTCAATGTTTTCCAGGTGTCCCATCAAGGCAGCACTGGCCGCGAGACCCCCCAGGGACGCTCATCCCACCCACACCCCTGGCCAGGGGGACACGGAGTCGGCAGCACCAGCAGCAGGGAGGTTTTGGTGTGTACTGGTGCTGCCCAGCACTGAGCTGGTGAGATCACCCATGGCAAAGTCATTCCTAAAATATCCCTGGGTGTGGAAAGGGGAAAGGAGCAAGGAACCAAACCCGGGGGAGTTTTGTCGTCCATCTCCTCCACGCAATGTAGTAATTGGCTGCACTGATTTAATAATACAAAAATTAGATCTGTCCTTACCTCGTTAAACTCGGGATTCAACGTTTTCTTCTTAATCTGTGTCTTGTGCTTGGCCTTTTTTCCCATGTCAGGCTTCAACCAACTGGGGGCAACAGAAAACAGCTCAAAACTCCAGTGCAAGAACAGCGTGAGAGTTTATGAGCTCAAAAAAAGTGAGGTTTGGGGCTAGAAAAAAAGCAACTGAAGATATTTAAGGCAAAGAAATGGGTTAGCCAGTCTCTCTTCCCACCTTCTGAAATCACCTAAAATAAATGGAAAATCAGTAAAATCCTGAACGCTCCTATTTTTCTCCCTGGGTTGTAACGTTCAGACACCAAAAGCGCACGCGCTCTTGACATTCTTCCAAACCAGGCATCGCTCCCAAGTCTTTTTTTTCCCCCCAAGCTGGGCTAAAAGAGATGTTTTTTGGTGTTTTACGGAGCAAAAGCCTTGGTGAACTCTTCATTTTGCTGGGGAGGAACCAAGGCCAACAGTGGGGAGTGGCTGAAACGGTTGGAGAACATGGCAAAGGAGCAGCTGGGCCGGTCGCCAGCAGACCAGGGTGATGGCATGGCCCGTCACTGAGCCTGGTTAATGGAAAACCCAGCCAAGAAGGTGGGAACGCAGAGAGAGATGGGGAGAAATATAGGAAAAAAATTGCAGCAGACATGGGACAGGACAGGGACGGGCACAGCTGGGCGAGCCCTGGGCTCTCCGCTGCAACCAGCACCTGGGCTTATGGGGCAGCAAGTGGGGCCTGTGCTCCTCGTCAGCATGAAGGGACATCAAGCCACACCTGCCCGGCATCCATGGTGGGTCAGAGCTGGGGAGAAGGACCTCCTGTCCTCCAGCTCTGCAGCTATGAGATGGTTGTTGGGTCTGTCCATTTGGGAACCTACGGGGAGCAGAGGGACCCAAGGGCTGGGTCAGTCTCGCCCAGCTTTGGCCACAGCAGGGGCATTACCACCTTGCACAGGCATCGCCGGAGGGCAGCTCGCTGCTGCGTGAGGTCTCAAGGTGCTTGAGAAATGTTCTCCTCTCTCCAGAGGTTTCGGAAGGAGCTCTCAGCCCATCAGCTGCTGCCCAAGGACAGCGGTGGCTCCATGACCACGCGTTACCGTGCTACGCCGTCGCCCGCTCCCACTTACAGTTTAACAAAAGGGTCCGAGTATCCGTTGGCATCCATAGCTGCTAAGTGCACGCAGCGTACGATGCCCACGATCAAGCCGCCCTGCTGGGTGCTGTACATGAGGGACACGAGGATCTTCCCACGCTCCTCCACATCCCCGCCACGGTCTACCTGCAAGAGGAAGTGACCAGAGATGGGGACATGGGGGCTGAGCGAGGAAGACTGTCAACTGCAGAGCAGATGAGAGAAGATGGATACAATGGAACCTCGTATCTCCATGACAGGGGCGTGGAAAATTGGGCTCGTACAGGAGAGGTGATGGGTGAAACGTGCATGGAGCATGTTGTCCTCCAAGGACTCTTACCTCCTCTTCATACAGTGCCATCCCACGGGATGAGCCAGTTGTTCCAGCACGCTTCATCTTTGATGGGGAAGGGAAAAAGAGAGACAGCCATGAGTGACTCCATCTGGGAGAGGCACCATCCTACAGCACAAACACTCCCAGGAGCCCAGCTCAGCTCTTTCGTTGGACTCGGCGGCTCAAGTATGTTCATCTGCTCCATCAACCTCCACCTCAGCAGACTCAGCACCTTGCCCGCAGCACTGGAGAGCAGAGTTCAGGGATGAAGCAACCTCCCTCTCCTCCACAGGGACATACATCAGCATAGGCTGGAGAGGTCCCCGGAGTCACTTCCCCTGGATTCCCACCACGCTCTTATCTCCTGGCCTTCAAGTGTCACATCAGCTCAGACACAGGTGGGAATCCGACTCCTAAAGATGCCAGTGAAGCCAAGCACCTACAGCTCTTGGCTGGTTCCAGCTCCAAGCCCACCGCTAGCTCCCTCACATGTTATTTGGTAGCAACCTCAACGGTAGTGGAAAGACGTTTCACCAAAACTCACGGGTATTACTCTCTCCAAGCAGATGTTGAAGTTCTTTTTCTGATTGGCTTTGAGTTTTTTCAAGGAAACTCTAGTTTCTCCAATAAACTCATTGTGGCCAAATTTGTCTTCATCGCACACAGAGATCCTGAAGGGAACAGGAAAGGGAAACATCAACCAGGCTGGAGCAGTACCTGGCTCCAGAACACAAGACCACCTCAGCAAGGGCACTGCTCGGGGGGTGGACAAAGCAAAGCACCATCAAAGCCTCCATCCATCTGGTTCTCCTCTGACAAAAAGATGTCAGAAGACCACACTTGTTTTGCCAGAAAAATCAACACTTTTAACATGTGCTCTGAGATGGGGCAAGAAATCAGAAGGTGGAAATTTGCTGCAGGAAGGAAATGCCACAGATTTTTAGAGACACCTAAACGCTTTGCTGGGGCGCTGTCAAACCACGCACAGATGTGCAACACCCACATCTCTGTGCTGATAAGAATAATAATGAGACCAGTCAAAACGTCTTTCTGTCTCTTTTAAAAAGGACCACCAAAATCAGCACGTTCACGTGAAGCATGTTCATTTTGACCAAAACCTCTGCATTTCCAGGTGCCCTATCAACACCCGCGCGTTGCTGCCGGTGCCCTCTGGAGGAAGGCTGGCTCGCGAGGAGACCCACGGTCCCCATCCCACCGAACCGCGGGACACCCCAGCTCCTCGGCTTGCCTGAGGGTTTTCCTTTGCATGTCCTCGTCTGTGATGCCGTGGTACACCAGGGTCTCGTTCCACACGGGGTTACGGGTGTTGCGCAGAGTCTTCGTTCTCAGCTTATTTGACTACGGCACAAACCAAAACACGGCGTAATTACACCCCCGAACTCCTCCCCACCTACATTCAGGCTATTGGCAGAGGAGGGTAGTGGTGGTCTAAAGGAGGTGACACCTTGGGAAACGAGGAGCTCTGCCACTGGTTCATGTGTCTTTCAGAAACACGGGTGCAAAATAAAAAACTAAAAGGCAGATCAGCAAACGAGAGAGTGAGAGAAATCAAAGCAAATCCCAAGCGCATGACACCTTGATTAACTCTGCACTAGACGAGGTGGCCAGAAAGTCCCCACACGTAGAGTAAATCCGTAACTATCCATCCAATGGTTTATATTATCAGTTTCCCCCTTGTTTTACACTTAGGTCCTCCAAGGAAAACTCTGAGCCAGGAGCCAGCACCCCTCAGGCACCGGGCCAGAGGTGGTCATCCATCCTCAAAGTTTCCCCCACCAAGATCAGCTTAGCTGGGCTAGGGAGTGAGACTCCCAAGGCTTTCTTGGATGAGGAGGGAGTTTACTCAATGATTATTTCTTCACCACACTAACGAGAGCATGCTGCAACTTCAAAGCCAACGGATCTTTCAAACTCTGGTAACGATTAGGTTTTTGTGTCAGATGTTTGGCGATGCATTGACGGTGCCACCGCCTCTGGAGGCCCCCTCCATCCCTACGCAGCTCCCTGTCTGCAGGATGAGCTGCTCCTCAGCTACGGGAGGGCATCTGCGAGCATCGTCGCTTTTCAGAGATACCTCCTGGGTGAAATAGCAGCAGCGAGAGACCATGCGGAGAAATCCAGGGGAGGAAGCCTGACGCAAGGTGGGGACCTCAGGGGGGATTCCAGAAACCTCTGCTGCATCTCCAGCCCAAAACACACCCAAAGCCTCACCTTGCTGGCTCCAGGCAAGAGGTGCAGCTTGACGTAAGGATCTGCCAGCCCGTTTGAGTCCATTGGTTTTAAGCCCTGAAAGACAAGAAAGAAAACACAGGGCATGGATCCTCCTTAAGTAGAGCCAGGGAGGAGAGACAAGCTACCCGTGAAGTGACTCAATAAAGAGAAGATGTGTCCAGCAAGCCAAGAGCCTCGTTCTCTGCCTCGAGCCAGCGTGGGTGTCACGATGTGCTGAAAAATCAGACCCACTCAAGGAAAAGCTCTACAGACCTCTCAGACCCATTCGAGGAAAAGCCCCGTAGATGTCTCCTTCCCAAGTAGGAGCACCAGTGCCAACAGCACTGGGTGGGGTCTCCCAGGGCAGCGGCCTTCGCCAGCGGCCACGTGGCTTCCAGCCCATCACACCAGGTGAGCTGGGAGCCAGACAGACTTAAATCAGTAAAAAGAAGGGGAAAAGAGGGAACCGCTTACTTTGGCCTTGATGAGGGTGCAGTGCAGGGAGCTGTTCTCCTGGTCATAGAGCAAGCTGAACTCCAGTGCTCCCAGCGTGGCTGACAGCAGGAGAGAGGAGGAGGAGTCGGAAATTAAAATCCCAGCCAATAACTGTGTTTAATAAGCCCCGATTAGTAATAATTAGAAAGATTTGCAGTTCAAATGAAAAGCCGTTTAACCCATCAGCCAAACGGTCACACATGGACCCGGACAGATTCACGAGCTCTGGTCATCAAAGCTTTGCAGAAGTGGAGCTGCCCGGGGTACCGAGGGGGCAGCCTGCAGCTTTTGAGCTGATTTGGATATTCATCAAGCAAAGGAGGAGGTAATGGTATGAATCCTTCTGTGGGCACAGCTCAGGGAGGCAATGCCACCCCAGGGGCTACCCCGAGAAGGTGCTCTGGCTCAGGTGGCCAGCATCTCCTCCTGAGGCTTAGCCCTCGTTTTGATTTGCTGGGAATCAGCTCATGCTTGTGCTCAAGTGCTCACCAGGAAAAGATCACAGGGATGAAGGAGTTAGCACAGAACCTCAGCTGGGTCCATCGGCTCCTACCCAAGCATGATTCCCACACTGAATCATGGAATGGTTTGGGTTGGAAGGCACCTTCGAGATCATCCCGTTCCAACTCCCCTGCCATGGGCAGGGACACCCTCCACTACACTAGGTTGCTCGAAGCCTCATCCAACCTGGCCTTGAACACTGCCAGGGATGGGGAAGCCACAGCTTCTCTGGGAAACCTGCTCCAGTGCCTCACTGCCCTCAGAGGGAAGAATTTCTTCCTTAGATCTCATCTAAATCTCCCCTCTTTCAGTTTAAATCCATTGCCCCTTGTCGCTCTTGTCCAAAGCCCCTCTCCAGCTTTCCCGCAGCCCCTTTGGGCACTGGAAGCAAGCTGCCTTGCCACAGATGCTCGCCCTCACACAGCAAGTTCCCTTTTAGGGGAGCAAATGACAGAACTCTGAGATCTTCCCCAAGGACCCTCCCTCCCGGAGACCCACGACCTTACGGTGCAAGTCCCAGTCCCCCAACAACCACCTCCTCAAAATCCCACGTTTCCCAAAGAAACCACTACCTCCCCTCTGGCCGGGCACCCCGGGTACATACTGCCTTCATCAGAGTCGTAGCTGTTGGCG